TAAAGAGAGTATGAAAAACTGGAAGACTACACTAAACCTACATCATAAAAACGGAACATTAACATGGAAACCAATCAGCAACAAAAATGGAGTCTTACAAGGGGATTCTGCTTTGCACTAGCGCCAATTAGCTGCCCTCTGGAAACAGTAGCTACAGATACATGACACAGAATGGCAAACTGAATCACGTATTCTATATTGATAATCTTAAAACGTTTGCCAAAGATGACAACCAGCAGAAAATTCTACACACAGCTTACTTTTTCCATGTAAGTTCTCAAACTCTCACCCACTATCCTCCTAATTGAGTAGATAGTGGGCAGTGGTTTGAAAGAACAAGAGTAAGAAAAATATTAAAGAATGTAGTCCAAATACTAATCATAATATATTCTCTCAGAAATTTTAATTCTTACACTTAATATTTGTTATTTTTGTTATCATTTTTCGCGTTAACTGTTTTCCATTTCCTATTTTTGTATATTATCATTTCAAAATTAATCGGCAATGTACATAGCAGAAGAGCGGACAGAAATTCAGGTTTACCAAAATTATTTATAAGGCACCATATTCTGAAAATCGATTAAAAACTTGGATTTAAAATTATAAATGTCCTTAATTTAAAAAAAAAAGAACATTTTTTATCGATTTTCAGAAAATGGTGTCCAGAACTTGTTTGTATTGCCCGTGTGATACTAAGAGTTCCTAGATTTGACGAAAAATGCTTACTAAATCCATCAACATTAGTTTTCCGTTATCGTTACAGAAGTATATTTGTCACGACCAATGTTCTTTTTATAATATTAAAATGTTTCACGTCACATGTAATATTGAAAGGGCAAAACTGAAAATCACGATGCATTGTAGATTATGTCCACACGATCTATAAGAAAAAAAAAACTCTCTATCTATGATATTGGATATCTTTTTCCTATAAATAGTGGAAATTTAAAATCACAGAAAACCAAGACACACTCATGTAATTTTTTATTGGATATTATTTTTCAATAGTGTTTCTTTTTTTTATATCAGGTATAGGTGATTTTATTTCTTTTTTAATTTTCTTTGCATAAATCATTCACGTATACTAGTTTTCATTTTCTGTAGCAGAGTACCCACAACTTTTAAGATTGTTTGGATTCATCTCACGTAATCGTTTCTCGTTCTGTCTCTATTTGCATGCTGATATTTAAGACAGAATTCTATGTTAACTCTTGTTCAATATGGTGGCTCCTACTAAAACAAAAAAATCAACTGTGTTGCACAAAATCTATGGCATGGAGTTCCGTGTCGTTAAATCATCCGGCTTATATCGTACTTTGGTATCAAAATGTAAAATCATTTTTGGAATTTCTGTACACAATAAATCCCCAAAAAATAACTTTTTTTTCATGAGCAATATATATATATATATATATATATATAAATATATGAATTAATTGGGAATTTATAATTGTGGATTCTTCGTTTTATTTTCGACATTAAGCATTTTCGTATTAATACAAATTTCAATACTAAACTATCTCTCCACACACACACACACACACACATATATATATATATATATATATATATATATATATATATATATATATATATATATATATTTTATTTCATGGTATTTGATCTGACGATCTTTGATATTTAGTACCCCAACTTTACGAATTTAAGTGCAGTACTCGATTGGGAGTTATGTCTCATAATTTTAGATCTGAAATGGGTAGAAGTAACCGCAATTCTGTGCTAACAATTCCTTCTAAACTATTTAATATTTTCCGCCATCTTTCTTTACAGTCACTGTTGATTTTTAAATATTTTAGGGGCGTCAGCAACCATTATCTATTTTCTTTTTGTCCTTTTATTTTCCATTCTCCATAATTATGTTTTCATTTTTCTCATATTGTTTCACGCTCTTTCATCTGTTTGGCTTTGTTGCCATGCTTCTAGTGAAATGATTAAAATTGCTGGTGCTTATGACTGATTAAGTCTTCTCTACCAGAAACTGTAATGAATTTCCGTTCAGTAACGTTGCATTATAAATCATAGATTCTGTTGTAGTTGAAAAATTTCAAATGTGCCTGAGTAAGTATCTGACTGGCGTCCTTGCAATAGTGTAGACGCTCATTTAATATGTTCCTATGCAATTTTCTTAAGTAATATCTATCTATCTATCTATCTATCTATCTATCATGTTTTGTATATTCCTACTTCCGACTATATGATAATATGTGTATGCGTCATACCATATTATGATTATGCGTACATACATGAATTATTTTGAGATAGCTATATCCTGCACAAATAAATAAACAACGCCAATAATTGAAACAGAAAAATATGTGTATTAAACATAAGAATACAAACTTGAAATGAAGATTAGTAGTCCAGGAATGCGGGTTAGTAGAAAAGTATATGTACAAGTCTCTGTAAGTGAAGCCGTAATTATCTCTCTTTCTGGACTCTCGAATAACTCTGAGTGAACACCCTGTCTCGACGTTTTTGTCACGCTATCTATCCATAGTATAAGTATACTTTGGACGAGTCTATCTTGTGTACAAGGGGCGAGCCCCACAATATTTAGCTTACATTATATTATCCAGAAATTGAACATCATTTACGTTGTCTTCGAATAGTTTTTTTTCATTTTTCACTATAACAATCTCAAGATTTAATCAGTAGATATTACTGGACTCAGATTAAGAAACAGTCTCATTTAAACAAACAGAATATTCCTCTATGCTAAACAATTTTCTATTTTCGTTTCTTAATTAAAAATTGCACTGTAATATAATGGATATAATTAAGTTATTAACTTCCTGATTAGATTCCAAAGCCCAAAATAAGAGAAAACAATCTGCAATATTATCCTACCCTCTCTGTGCTTTAAATCTCATTCTGCTAATAAATTGAACGCTGGCATTTATTAGGGGCGGGGTTACAAAGACAAGCATGAAATTATTTGCAATCATGCTATTTTAGCCTGGTGTATTCAGCCAATCATTATTTAAAATGTTATTCTATTGCGCTTCAATGAATTTGAATAGAATTTCCGAAGAAAATTTTGCCTTAAAATAAAAGAAATATAAATGAATACAAATTAATGTGATCATTTTCTTGCAAATGTACTAAATAATTAATCGAAATAATTGAACAAATAGATGCTTGTGAAGTGAATTCTCAGCATACAATTTAATTTTCCTCTTCTATACAATTTTTTTAAGATTCTTTCACTCTTTACATTCTTTAAAAATTATTTTTCTTCTAATTAACAACGCTAAACGAAATCGAATGTTCATTTTGTCAGAAAAGTAACATTGAACTTCCTCTAAAATTGTGACATTCAGTTGCAGTTAAATTATCAACCCCTATTTGATTTGAACTTATTCTGAAAATGGCTCTCTGAAGGAACAATTTTAAGCTTGCCATACATTGCATTAGTTTATATTAGCTAATACCATGAATTAATTAATATGCAGAGTGAATTTTATTTTATTATTTGGAACGTATGATAACATTATGTATATTATGAAAAAGAGTTTATTCCCTGTCCATCCTGTTCGCGCATGTAGAATTTCCCCAAATTGCCTTAAATATTATATATATATATATATATATATATATATATATATATATATATATAGATAGATAGATAGATAGATAGATAGATAGATAGATAGAAAATGAAAAAAGTAATCAATAAAATAACGTTTCGTTGTTCTTCGTTTTTACTGTGAAAAAAAAGTTCTCAGTACAAAGCAGACCAATATATTCTTATTATTTTAATATATTAGAACAAAAACATTTTGAAATCGCTACGCATTAGATTTCATGTGTCAGCACGATGTTGTGCATCTTCAGGCCATGATAAGTAGCTGGTGATTATATAATTTTTAAGTAATTTCTAAAAACTGTTTAATCTGCAGTCACTTACCATAGCCTGAAAAGTCACAAATTAGTGCCGAAACAAGAAAGCTATTCTATAGCAATTCAACCGTTATTTGTTTTATTTTAAAATAATATATATATATATATGTGTGTGTGTGTATGTGTGAGAGAATGTATGTGTTTGTGTGTGTATGTATCGCGAGGAAGAGATTTGATTGTATATGTGTGTGTGTCTTTGTACATATCTCCTTAATTTAAACATTTTATTTCAATGGAATCACGTTTCTTTATTTTTATAAACACTGGGAATGACATCTGCTCCGAGTGCATTCAACAGGTTTTGAACCTGTAACCCTTTTTGTAAGGAAAAACACCTTGTCATATGTTGTAATTTCGATTATCCAGCCACAAGGAACGTAACTGCCATTCAAGTTTCAAGAAAATTTGGATAGATTTTCAAGAATCTTTTTGGTGGGTTACGTTTACGCATTAAGCATTTGCAAATATAATTGGTCCAGTGAAAAATCTCATATACATAGTTTCGTATGTGACATTATCACGAGGAATAAACGTTAAACGAGTCCACAAACCTTATTTTCATAATTACTAAAATTATAATGGTGTAACGGACCAAGTGTAACATAATATAAATTAATGCAAGATTTTGATGAATCTATTATAAAACCAAACGTACACCAATATTTTTAATGGAATCTTTACTGTACGTTTTCTATATAAATGTGGAAAATATATTACAAGACTTTTTTTTAGACTGTGTGTCAGTATAAGTAGTAAAAGAAATACGATACCAAATTAAATTCTTTGTTTAATACCAGGAAGTTTCCATTAGTATTCATGAATTGATTTGTCTAAAATCATTTGCAGTTTAGTTAAAGGCATTAAATATTTTCATGTTGTACGACATTATTTAGATAATAATGATTGAATGATAAAAGCCATATTAATTAACCCATCATATATGGAAAGATGTGTATTCCATACCTTTCTCAAGGATATTTGGGTGTAAGTGAATATAACCAACTCGACTAGAATTAGAACTCCGATTTCTATGTCAGAGCCGTTATCCATTGCACCACTCGTATGTCCAAACGCAGAGGACCCGGTATTCCTAAGCGGTCAACCATCTAGGTATTGACCAGGATCGACGTTGCTTAACTTCGATGATCGTACGAGAACTGGTGTTGCAACGTGATATTAACGCACGTCTTTTTATCAAATTCAGCTGCACATGATTTGCAAAATTTTTTCCGATAAACACCGAGGGAACAGAACGAAATACTCCTGCTTTATAAATTCAGCAGATTTCAGATCGTGTGAACCAAACGGTTAACGTTAGTGAAACTGAAACAAATGAAAAATACTTAATTAGATGTAACTGAAATAAAATAAGATGATGTGGTTTCTAACAGTAGTCTTTTGTTATAGTCGTAAGAAGAAGTATCTGATCAAACATTGGTTTCTCCAATAAGCGATTTTTGCGAATGATTGTTTTAAAATAGCAAACGTAAAAATAATCATTTTGCTGCTAACGCCCCAGCCTTACATGGGTTTAACATTCCTATTATTACTGATACATTTTGAAATTGCTTGTTTCTATTTTCGATTATATATCTGAGAGGAAAAGTTTTAGAAATAAAGCCACATATTTATTTAAGAGTGAATACGGTAAGATTCGAGCTTGTATTTCTTAAACGCTTTTCCCATATGTAAAAATAGTAAGCAACCTGAAGATTACAGATATGTAGCGTATGAAGAAAAAGATTTTAATATTTCACGCCTAAACGTATAAGGCATTTTGGAGATGATTTTATCAGTTCTCCAAACAATTTAGCATTGGCGTTATTTGCATTCAATGTAACGTTAGTCATCGAATTAAACCTGGGTTAGCTGACTACTATTACTGGATAATATTGGATAAATTTAAATCAATCAACAATTAAAATGTTGATTCTAGGCATAACTAACAACGTATTACCTATCACTTGAATATACACTTCAATCTGTTACTTCTGTATAATTATTAGAAACCATTAGATTTCTACAAAATTGCCCTCTTTTGATATTAGGAATGATATCACATTCTTACTGAGTCTTCACAATTTCGATATCAAGGAGGCTGCTCGGAATATCTGCATGCATCTAATATAATTATTCTACTTGAATTAAGAATCGTATTCTATTTATGATTCTGGAAGGAATATAATCAAATGAAACTGAAGGATTATTAGATAACATTATATCTGACATCAGCAAAATATTTGCAACATTAATTTTTCTATGATAGTCTCTTTAAACGCTTTTTATAGTTTGTCAACCACCAATCTGGAGAACACCATTTATACATAGCTTCACTGCAAAAAATAACCTTGTTTCTTATTTGGATCATAATCATATTTACTTTATTTAATAAACGGAAATAAGGCGAGGAATGTTTTTCTACTTTTATGCTTTCGTTTCTGTTCACATTTTGATCTTCTGACTAAAATACGCGTAAAAACTGCGACTTTTTGTTTTTACTTGTTTCAAAAACATGATTCATCCTTTTTGTTTCGATGATGTGTTCAGTGTATATTTTTATATCGTTGCCTATATTGCACAGTTTATTTTCTGGGAGTATCTCCGATTTGTGTTTACACCATTTTTGACTCAATGCCTTCTGTCTAATTCTCATGTATATAGCAGTCTAAATTCTGTTCTGGTTGTTTTTCTATTCTCTTTGGGCCAGTCCAAAATATTCAGTTTTCATATAGTTTACATTTTTGTCTCTTTCACCTCAAATCTGACATTTGCTGCTTATCTGTTTTGTTTGATTTTTTATTTTGTTATCATGAACCTTGATTCATTTGTTCATGACTTAGTAATAATGGAGGATTCGGTCTCTCATTTACAGTTGCTTGGCAGCCATTTCGAACACGACTCGACTGCCATTTTTTTTCTTTTTGTCTTTGCGATTATCCTTGCAATGTTCACTTTTTGCGTTTTTATGCCCCTGTTGCATTCCCCACTATTACCTTGCTTTTACAAGAAGATTATTATTATTATTAACATTATTATTATTTCCTTGGGTTTCTGTTGTATACACATTATCTTCCGGGTCCCAACCAGAGACGTAAGCTCAGAAATGGCTTCATGGCATTTTACACATATAAGTTTTGTAAAAAAAATGAAAAGAAATTAAGATCACACCCAGTTTACATAGAGAAAAATTTTCGTAATTTGTGAGCTGTACTTGTAAGTACAATCTTTTGTATTTTTTAAGGCATGGGCAATCAGGAATCCTTTATTAATCCGAGGGCTCCAACTGCAACAGGAATTACTGATGTCATCATGTGCCACACTTTTCAGATTTCCATTTCAAGATGGGCGGTGTTTGATAGTTAGCTTTGATTGTTCCCTCTTTGTGTATTGTCCCATAAAATTGTTACAGGCCCTAACTTTGTAACGGGTTTGGGTGATGTTCATAGATATTTCTTGCAGTTTCCTTCCTGTAAAATTTGCATACTTTCCAGTGCAAATATTGGTCTACCCTATTAGGCCCAGTATTATATTCAGTTGGTGCTAACACATTGCACCCTGATATAAAATGCCTAATTGTTTCTGGATATTTATCATATAACGTGCATTTCGCATTAACACAAATTTTACGTATGCGTAATTGGTAATTTCTAGTTAGCTAGCACTTGTCCTATACAGCAAGAACAATATTATTATTATTATTATTATTATTATTATTATTATTATTATTATTTTTTTTTTGTTGTTGTTGTTGTTGTTGTTTTTTTTTTTTTTTTTTTTGTTGCTGTTGTTTCCTTTCGTTTCTAGTGTATATTCATTACTTCTCGGGTCCCGAGCAGGAATCTAAGGTCAGAAATGGCATAATAACATTTTCCACTGTGCAATTTTGAAAAAAAAAAAGACTATCGTACATATTTTACATAGATGAATCAATTTGTAAATTGTGGTCTGTACTTGTGAGCACAATCGGTTGCGTTTCTTTAAAGCATGGGTTACCAGGGATTCATTCAATAAGTCTACTGGAATCTTTTCCAACCAATCCGAGGGAACCAACTGGAAATTTTAATGTCCTCCTGCGCCACATTTTTGAGATTTTGATTCCAGGTTCCTGGTATTTTGATAGGTTTTGAAGATCTTCAAAGATACATTGCAGTCTGCAATGACTACCATGTCAATAAGGCGTCACATTTTGCCTTTGGGATCTCTAATCACGATGTCAGGGAGTTTGGCTTTGATTCTTCTGTCTATGTAACCGGGTGTGGGCGGTGTTCATACAATTTTCTTGCAATTTCTTTTTCCGTAAGTGTTACAGATTTTTCAATGGCTTGTTTTATATTTAATGGGAGCCAATACCTTTCAACCTAATACAAGATCCTCAGTTCTTTCTGGATATTATATACAGAATCTGCATTTTGGACGAACATATTTATTTCAGTATGTGTGCTTGGAAATTTCTACTTAGCAAGCATTGGTCCTGTGCAGCAAAAGTAAAACTTTATTATTATTATTATTATTATTATTATTATTATTATTATTATTATTATTATTATTATTGTTGTTGTTGTTCTTTAGTTAGCACACACGTTATGCCTTGCCAATACAAAAATAATGGACTATTCCGTTTAGATCAGGAGGAAAAACGAAAGAAATCGTATCAGAGAGGCTGTTTTGTTTGAGAGTGAGAGAGAGGGGGAGAGAGAAATAATGGCATATACATCCTTATGCACATTAATTGAAAGAAAACGAATAATTCCGTTATTATTTACCTTTTTTTTTTCGTATTTGTCCAATGAGCATAACCCAGTGCACATTTTAGTACTTCGTATGTTCTTTCCACAAAGTCTTTCCTTGCAGACTAAACAGAGATTATCAATTGCATTTAAATCAGGAGAGTTTCCGTGCCAGTCGATAGTACATTTATTTGCTCACGGGTAAGGCTTGCCATTGTGTTCTTGCAGCGTTACAATTTTCGTACGATTCCTTGCAGTAACGTCCATCACAGACAATGGCCGTTGTTCAACTAATTGACAATAGAGACAATAGTGCCTGGGAGTGATGAAAATTTGATGCAACCAGAGATGACTCAATATTTTTCCAAGGCCATCTTACACCCCAAAAATAGATTCATATTATTGCACACCACTGAAAATGGCCAAATCTGAGTCAAAAATAAAAATCGATTATACCCTGTCACACAAGTGGGTCTAAAACTGGCCTTATTGTGAAAGAAAGGAAACTAACGCGGTTGTTTAAATTAATTTACACAAGGGGGTAGAATTGGCGCAAAACTTCCCATGTTGTTAACGGGAAATGGAAAACTAAGCAATTTCAAATATTCTATTTGTTCACTCTACTTTAAATAATGGTCTGATTTCGTTTTTATGATTATTGTTGAAATTTCTAGTTAATATTTGTAAGCCCAACTATTTATACAACAGAGGAGGTTACATGGAACATTCGTGGAGCTTATTCAATCATCATCTTAAGAATTAATTTACTCTGTAAAATTAAAATTGTAAAAGCTAGAAATTTTCTTGGTTATTTGTAGTTGTTATTATTATTATTATTATTATTGTTGTTGTTGTTGTTGTTGGTGTTGGTGGTGTTGGTGTTGTTGTTGATGTTGTATTTTTCATGAATCTAATAATTCGTATGGTATATTGGCGGTTAACTGTCTGCAATATTCCAGAAGTCTTTTTTCTATTCTAACAGTTTTACAAATATCTAGAAAGTTCCAAAACTTTCCCTAATTTTCAGTCCTTGCAAACCATTTCCATCGCTTTGACAATGACATACGATTGTTTTCTCGTTCAAAAAATTATTGAACACTCGCACAAAGTCGAGAGACTTATCAATATTTTAACTTATTTTTAGATTTACACCGTGTCCATTCGAAAAGCGAAACACAACATCTTGGATGATTTGTTAATTATTTTCTTCATATTCTGTTGTCTGGCCTGGATTTGTTGATCAATTTGAATTTCAGAATCATTAATTTTGGATTTCATTGTCCAGGACAGATTCTCCTGTGCACATATACCACTGGTCTGTATGGTTCACATGTTAATCAGTATGTGAATGGTGTTTGTTTTGGGAATCGTGTGACAGCATTTTGTTTTCAAGCTATAAATTTCTTGACATATCCTTTTATATCATTCTAATTTACATTGACACCATGTTGTTTTCT